TGGACCACACCCTCACACACGGACTCACATTTCCTTCCCCTCTTCCCCGTGTCTCTCTCTCTCCTCCCTCACGACTCTCTCACTCTCTCTCACCCTCGATCATACGGACAACACCAAAACCCTCCAAAACTTCGTGGATCGAAGCAAATAAGGTATGATTTTTCACCCTTTTGATGTTCTGAGTTGATTGGTACTAGTTTTAGGAAGTGAAACCCTCGAAATCGTCGTGAAACCCTAACCCCGAAAATGTGCACTGTTCATGCACACGTGAAATCTTGCATTTCAGGGAATTTCAAGCTCACAGTGAGCTTAAGGACATCCTCACGAGCTTCGGGGTACTTCGTTGGTGATATTTGGACGTCGAAGGACCGAGATTGGAGGTTCTCAAAATTTCCGAACTATCGTGCTTCCCCAGGTAAAATCTAGTGAATTTTAGACCTTGAAACTAGTCCATCGTGATTCTACATGTTGAGGGCTTCAAATTGATATAAAATTCGAAGAAAACGGTTGAGAAACGAAAGAGAACAAGCAATTTTAAAACTCGCCGGAATCCGGCCACCGGAAAAACCAGTCCGGCGACTGGCTGAGGAAGATGATGCGCATGGGGGCGCGTAGGCCCGTGCCACCCACGACGCGTGAGGGTGCGTGGCATGCCTAAAAATTTTTCTAAAAATTTAGGTCGATGTGGTATATTCATATACCCAAATTGAGCATCGTATGAGAAGTTATTTCGAATTATTGGTTATGTGTTTAAATTAACGTTTTTATAGTTGTTTCGCATATAGGTGACACCTATCCCGAGGACGAGCGCATCCAGGGACGTCACGGGGGTTACGACCCATCGACTTACCAGTGAGTGGGCAGTTTTGTTTTCGTATTACCTATATACTACTGTTTTTCCCAGAAAATGCATTTATATGAAAATATATTTTAAAATTCCATGCATGCAATCGATGAGATATTTGAATTGATAATTGATGCATATATATATGAATTGACGCGGTGGACGCACAGGTGAGTTTTTACATTATTTATACGATTTATTTATGTGAATCGCATTGAAAGCTCATAACCTGCACCCTAGGTGTTAGTGTTTATATTATTCACCACACCGCACGCTTGCCTTGGATCCAAGTAGGTGGATGTCGTACAGACCATGTGAGGGTTCCGACATGCTAGTCGTATAGATCACTAGATGTGATTCCGACTAGTGGGTGACCTTAGTTATGCGCTCCGATGATTGATGAGAGAAGCACTAGAGCGTATTCTTACACCTTTCATCGTACAGACTACCTTATGTAGTTCCGAGTGATGTGCAGTGTAGTGCCGTACAGGTCACAGTTGGTGACTCCGGCGGGGCCGTATAGGTCACTGTGGTGATTCCGGCTGAGTGGGATAATGAGCTATAAAATCAGCCGTACAGGACCACTGTAGGGTCTCCGGTTGATTTATTATTTCACCTGATTTTATCGATGCATTTATATTATATTTTGGCATGGCATGGCATATTCTTTCTGAAAAGCATTGAAATATTGTGAGCTGAGTTTGATGGTATATGTATATATATGTTTATATACTATTTTTCTGGGAAAGTATACAGGTTTTACGGTGAGGGGTTAGAAACGTTTTAAATTAAGTGTTTTGGAAAATCTTTGGTTTTACTGACCCACTCATCTTTGTTTTGCGCCCCTCCAGGTTCTAGTTAGCAGTTGGTGGCTCATGAGGTCTTTTTCGGCATTCTGACAGACGTACTGCATGTATGACTCACCTGCGGGTGTTGTACTTTTAATTATAGTCCTACTTGACTGCACTTGATACCTACACTCTGAATTCGTGTGTTTTACTTTATAACTCACTCTTTTATGCTAGTAGGTTATTCTGCTGGGGGTTGGTTTAAATTCCTTCATATTTCTGTTATATCTTGCTTCCGTGTCGCACTTTTGGCTACGTCACGCTCACGTGACGACTAGCACGCCTTGATTCTTGGATCGGGGTGTGTCAATCAAATCATCAAACTTGTTTGTATATACTTCGAGATCGCATATGCCAAAAATCACAAAAAAAAAACATTCAGATATCAAGTAACGGGACAAACTTTTTCAACGGTTATAAATGAAAAATCACAATTTAACGGTTATTTGAACTCCGATTTTGATGATTTTTTACAACTACCCTCCTTGACCCTATATGAATACAATGAACTAATTCGATCGTCAATTTAAAATATTTACACAAGTGGATGCCACAAAATCTTATGTTTTACTTGATGAAAGTATTAATAAACTCAAGTGTTAAGGAATCTATCGTTTTGATGAGATACGCATTGTACAAAACTAATTTCAACGATCCAACCGTCAAACTTGTTTGTATATACTTCAAGATCGCATATGCCAAAAATCGTAAGAAACAAACATTCAAATATCAAGTAACGGGACAAAACTTTTTTACGGCTAGAAACGAAAAATCACGATTTAACGGTTGTTTTAACTTTGATTTTGATGATTTTTTACAGCTACACTCTTTAAACCTATATGAATACAATGAATTAATTTGATCGTCAATTTAAAACATTTACACAAGTAGATACCACAAAAGGAAAAGGCAATGCAAGAACACCAAAAGGAAAGCAAAAGGACCAAAAAAAAAAGGACCGGTGCCAGATGGATATGGCTACGATGAATGCTAGGTTTTGACTTGGAAACCAGCAGATAGATTTGAATGATCACTAGAAACAAAATGCTCGCTTTCCTGCACTCTGTTTCTGCAGCAAAGCTGCTCATATTTGCTATGTACATATATATATATATATATATATATCATATATGTTCCTTCATCTTTTGTAATATAATCTATGTGTTTAGTTGATTAAACTAATATAGCTCCATTAGTTATATTGCAATATATATACATCAGAAATATCACATTATGTCTTTAATTATATGAAGGTACGTCGGAATGGGCGACGATGATGTGCAATTATTTTATTACTTCATTGAGTCAGAGAGGAGTCCAGAGAACGATCCTCTTGTGCTTTGGCTCACCGGAGGGAGAAATTTTTAGCTGTGACGGGAATATAGATGATACACTATGTGTTTCTATGTAAGTGGTGGAAAATTTTAATTTTTAAGTTATTAACCTTTTAATATACATATTCCATTATTTCTATGAAAACACGTGATGTACCATTTCGTATGACGATCACACTGAAAAATCTCTCCGTCCTGCGTGTTCTGGTTTTCGTACCCTTGTATCCGTAAATATCGGTACGTACATATTTCTGTTTCGGTACTGTTATGTATATATCCTTTTACTGATAAGTAACCCTACCCCTTGAAGGGCTTGCCCGAATATTTGTGACAGGGTAACTCACCAAAATAAGTTGATCTATACGCGATAAGTACATAATAGTTTCGTATAGTTAATTCTTACAAACAGGATTAAGGTATGTACTTGTAATTTTGCTGTAGGTCCACTTTCATTTGATTACGCACATTCCATTGGCAACAAGCCAAAATTTAAGGTATGTACTTGTAATTTTGCTGTACATGTTTTCTTTGCGGTTCATTTTAAGCGTGACAAAAATTTTGGGAGATGGTTGTCTAGTAAGATCGTCAAAAGTTTTTTGCGCAAGTTATACGCACATATTAGAATGTGAGCATCTAACGCTATCCAAATTGACAGTATAGGTGGGAGAACCCAAAATTATTTGACTCATGTTTCAATGTAACAAAACTTTCAACAATTACTAGTAGAAAAAACAGCTTACGCGACGATATTTTGCGTGACGAACAATATTTTGCCGCGCAAGACGTACTTGAGCGACGAAAAATACACTTCGTCGCGCAAAATATAAAAGAGAGGAGGGAAAAAAAATTGCGCGACGAAGAGTTTCGTCATGCAAGAACACTTCGCGCAACGAATAATCGCTGGCGTTGTGGAAAGTGAGCAAGAAAACACGGGGTAATTTTGTTTGGCCCGAAAAACTTGCACAACGAAATAAAGAAATTGCGCGACCAATAGTTCGTCGCGCAAGTTCCTGTCAGTTTTGACCATTTACTGCAAGTGAATTTGAGGAATTAATACCGCATTTAATACATGTGTTTGCGCGACAAAGGCTTCGTCACGCAAAGGTCCTAACCTACCTATAAATATTCGTTTCTTCTGTCCTGATTCTTCACAATTCTATTATCCTTATTCTTCAAAATTCTATTCGTGCTAGGGTGGCGGATAAGAACAAGGGTGAGAGTGTACGTGATGCCAACCCGCATGATTTAAGGGATCATTTTGAGTTTGCGCATTCGATTGTTGTAGCCATGGGGAATAATTGTCCCACTGCTGAGTGGCATTCTTGGGAAGATGTGTTCAGGAATGTGAAGAAGGCTGTGATGGATGAAATATTAGTAAGTATATTATTCTTGATGGATTAATAATTAAGTTTTTGAAATTTTTAGTTATATGTTAAAATTAATTATTTGCATATATGTGTAATAGTGTAAGTATACTCTTGATGATGATACGAATGAACAGTTGATGAAGTTGATGAATAATACGTTGGAGGGAGGTTACAATCGATGGCGTTATGAAGTCTTGCAGAATGGACCAGGATCATCCAAATAGTAGTTTTAAATTTATGTTTTGTAAGACAATATTTAAATTTTAAGGTGTTTTTTTATATGTTATTTATTCGGACTTAATTATGTTTCAATTCTTGTTGGTTTTTTTATTGGATCCTAATGTAAGAACCTTATCCTCGGTTTATATGTGTTTACAATCTTCAATGAATATCGTACTTATGCTGAAAATAATTGTATGGATTAAGTAATTAATTATATATAGACTAAATATTTAAGGACTTAATTATTTATAGAATAATATTTCAGGTATTAATTATTTATAGAATAAATATTGAAAGTTGTCATCGTTCCGAACCTTTTATTAAACTGTTGTGATCATTGTGTTGCGTATATTGTTTATGTTATTTTCAGGGTTTTGGGAAATGTTTTAAATATAGGGGATGTTATGCCGAAAGTTTAGTAGGATTTGTTATTAGTTTTGGGTTAATGATTTTTTTTCATCTCTTTGCAGTGAAGAAAAACACCCAGGGACCTTGTCGGCAATTGAAGACGGCGAATGTTACCCGGGTGACCAACGGTCGTATCCCAATCAGATATGATGAGTGACATCGAGTAGCACCAACCGTGAAGTAGCATAGTGCATAGGCCCACGACATTGGGCATGTCGTGCTGACCTTTTGCCCTATGCGGTGGAAGTCTTGGAAGGCGATGTCAGAGGAGACGAAGAACACGGTGTGCAACCAATTGTCCGTAAGTAGCGTTTCCTTTTTAATGCTTTTCAAGTAAAATTTATATACTTATATTTATTATTGTCTTTTATTACTAATACCTTCAAAATATTTGTTACATTGCAGACAAACTACAATTTGGAGGACATGGACGAGGACATGTTCATGTACCTCAATCGGCTCTTCTCTGAACGCTACAAGTAGTGGAAGAGTGACCTGCACCAATGTTTCTAGCAATTTGATGATCCGCATGTCGCTCTTAAGGAGGGTTATCCGAAGGAGTTGGAGGATTGACAAGATAGTTGGGTTTGGCTTTACGGTCATTTTTAGAAGCCGGGCTATGTGGTGCGTTTTTAATTACGACTTCTTTCATTTTACTTTTTTTAATTTTTACTAATGTTTATCATTATTTTTTTAATTTTATTTAAGTATTACAACTAATATGTTTATTTTTTTAATAACAGAAGAAGGTGAAGGCGAGCAAGATCAATCGAGAGAAGAGGACTCTTCTCCACCATTCGGGTTCAAGGCCTTTCTCCTATAGGATGGAGGCGCGATGGAAGGTATATATTACATCTTTCATTTCCAATTTTAAAATGTCGCTAATAATTTTTTTTTCTTACTAACATTTTCCTTATCTTTTTCGATTTTAGGAGGGTTCAAAATTTCCAGAGATCGATGTCTTTGCTGACGTTTATGTTCGGCCTAGGAATGAGTTGATCGAGTCCCTTCATGTAAGTAATTTCTTATGGATTCAACATTTATACTAATTATTTCAAATTGTTCTCTATTAATAATCCATGTTTTTTTTTTCACAGGCGACTATGATGGAGAAAAGTCATTCGATGCTTCAAGAGTCCGCCTTCTAGCTTCCCTCAGACATGCCGATTGAGTCTGTGGATCCACCTGAGGATGCAAGGTTTCACATCGTCATAGAAACGTTGGACCAGACTTTTGGTCAAAGGCCAGGGACTTATTGTCAGGGGATGGGAAATGCCAGGCAGCAGGAGAGTAGAGCCTCATCATCATCGCAATCAAAGGGCTAGGTTACGGCTTTGACATAAGAAGTCGATGGCCTGAGGAGTGAGCTGGCATCGTACAAGTCTCAAATGTCGATGCTTGTACAAGCCCTCAGTTCTTCCGGAATACATCTTCCCAGTTTTTTTGCACCATCGCCCTCACAGCCCATCCACACCGAGCAAGCACAGCAATCAGACCCGTCGACCTCCGACCCCGTCCCTAACCAGCAGCAAGATCCTTCGAACGACATTCCTATAGATTTTCCCTTTATTTTTATTTTTATTTTTATTTTATAATTTTGTTCTTACTTTCTTTTAAAACTTTATATTTGTACGTACATTTTTATTCATTAATTTGCTTTTTTTTGTCATTAGTATGAAATCTTTTTTCTTTTTTAAATTTCCTTTTATTCTATTTATTTATTATTAATAAAAATTACACTTGCACGACTGCGAACAATCGTCGCGCAAAATTAAGCACGTTCTATAACTTCGTCATGCATTACCATGTGCCTCTTACATTTTTCGTCACGCAAACTTTTCGAGACGAAGTAGTCACAATGCATACTTGTACCCTTTTATATCGTACGGCGAAAATCTTCGTCCGTATAACTTTAGCGCGACGAGTAGTAAAGCGTCGCACAATTTTTTTTTGCACAACGAATTTGAAATTTTTCGTCTTGCAATGTCTTTTTTCACGACCTTTGCACGACAAAATACGCGCAACGATTTTTTGGTTGCCATAGTTTTCGTGTGACCTAATAATGATTTGCGCAACAAAATCTCCCTCATCGCGCAAACTGTTTAATTTAGTAGTGAATACATATCTATATGTAATGGTCTTGCACGAGGGCGCACACACACATATATCCAAACTAATTTCTTGCTAATAAGATATTATTGTCTCTCTTATGGTGGTCATTGTTAAACTTTCGTAGTCAACTAAAACAAACTGTAAGGGAGAGTATATCGATGTGGATCCAGACAATGACTCGTGCCTAGAAGACTTGGACCTTGTCAAAGAGGTGATTAGAGAATGGTCCTAGTGCGGGTACGATCTTCATCAATTTCCTATTTCTTTAATAACTATCTAACTCACTAAAAACTATCACTTTACTCTTAAAAAAAAAGTTATGGCTTTACTTGTATGAGTAATATTGTGAGATATATCAAGAGGTACTGACTTTATATTTGAATCAACAGTGTGTCAAAGACATAAACGATATGCATATATTGGAACCAAAATGTATTGATTCATCACCAACTCCGAACCATCTCAGTAATGACGCTGTAAAACTTCTCCTTCCTTTTTCTCAACTTCCAAGGCAATGGTGCCGGGTGAGCTGCCCTCTATATATTTCTGCACGCACACATGCATTAGTCAATGTAAACTTTTTATTAACTCAGCATGTATCTACATTGCTTTTCATGCAGAAAGACAACTTTATCTTCTCTGACATTTGGGCAAATGATAAAGCGGTTCAGAATGCTCTTCACATTCGGGAGGCAATTATTTAGTTATATTCTAATTTTACGAAAAAGAAAAACATAGTAAAATTTAATTAGAAATAATATGATACAAAAGCTCGTTTGATAACAATTTCGTTTTTAGTTTTAGTTTGTATTAGATATAGAGGGGAATACATGGCAGAAATGAGGGATATAGAAGAGCGAGGAAGGATGGAAGATAATCAGAAGAAATGTATAAGCAAATGTGCACAAATTTAAAACTAAAACCAAAAACTATATGTTTTCAATTTGCATATTTTGTTTTAAAACTAACCATGAAATAGTTATCATCAGTAGCGGAGCCAAGGTGGGGGCAATGGGATTCCTTGACCCCAATAACCTTGTGGCCAAACAAGAAGAAGAAGAAGGAGCTGATAAAGTTTGTTTGTTTGTTTGATTAGTTTCTTGGGGTTTAGAACTTGACAGAAAAATGGAACAAAGAATGCAGAGATGTTGGACGACTACAAGGCTGTGCAAATTGCATCTGCCATCACTTCATTTAATAAGGAATGTTTGTAAGGTTTGGTGCATTGCCAACTCCCAAAACATTTTTTAAGAGTCTGGGGACAAGAGAACTTAAACAAATATTACACCCATTCTCTTCCAGATTTGATCCTAGCCCTTCATTGGGGTTTTAAGCGATCTAATCTGGAGTGCACACTTGTCACTCTCACACACACATACAAAGCATTTAAACTGAAAACAAGCCGTTGGGACTAAACCCTTTTTTTCTTCTTTCTTCTTCGATGCAGCAGCAACTCATCCATTGGAGCTCCACTTGCTGTCGTCGATCCTTGGAACTAGAAGCAGTTTAAGGTCCAACAGGAGCTGCTGGTCCATTTGTTAGCCATCACTCCATCAGCACCTCTTCTCCAGCCCCCTGCTAAATCTTCCCACCACCGTGAATTTAAGGCCTGGCAGCCTCCAGATCGTTAGACCCGCGTTTTCGGCATGCCCTGTCTAGTAATGGAAGTTCAACTTTTGACCCCATTGTCTTAAATTCCTGGCTCCGCCACTGGTTATCATACGTGACATAATTTTCTGATCAAACTGAGTTTATGAAATGACAATACCAGAGGAGTATTGAGGAATGGGCGAGATGCAATACAAGCTTACAAACTTCATTTATACATGATATTGCCTCTAGTATTATTTATCATGAAAACCTCATAAAACAAGGCTACAGAGTTCTGGTTTACAGGTAATGTGGTATACTCTACATTAATTCTGTCTTATACTCAAGCTTACAAAAGTTTTAAACAAGAAGCGCTTATTTGTTCGTTAATTCCTTGTCCTTGGACAAAATATTGGGCTGAAAAATCGACAGTGGAGACCAAGACATGAATGTTCCATACGCGGCTACAATTGCTTGGATAGAATCTCTGAACTTGATGGTTCTGGAAACCATGGCTCGTCAATGGACAAGTTGCAGGGTTGATTTCTAACTCATTTTCTTGTATTTAAGTTCAATCTAGCAAGAAAATTAATTTGCAATTTTCTCAAGCTACACTACGTAAAAATTCTTCACCAGATACTGAGTGCAGTATACAAATGAATGCTACCAGTTGACATACACAACTATAAGGGCAAGAATAAAAAAAAAACCATCAAACTTTGATTTTATACATGTTGGATAAATGTCAACAATCTGTGATAATTTTATATATGCTAATAAATAATAAATACGAATAAATATTGAACAGAGTATGAACAACGAAATAATTTAAAACAGAAAGATTGAAGATCGAGGCTTGTGTATCGCAATGTTCTTGAAACAGAAATTCGTCCCTACTCAGTGCTTGTAGTTCTACGGGCATCTGCTTCACCAGGATTCAACGATCAAGTTAGAATTCCAGCACCAGAAAACTTAACTTCTGGCGAACTTTTGTGTGGTTCTCTCAGAAAGGATGTTTGAGATTGTAGAAGAAGAATATTGATTTTCTGTGTCTTAAATGCCATGCAGATGGATGTATATATAATAAAAGGATGCTTATTCGCAACAGGTATGAGAATGGGATGTGTTTGTTGGGAGACATCTTCTCCAGAGGGGTGCTTTGCTCTGTGTTCTTTCTGAACTCTTCATACTTCATCTAAAAGGATGAGTCTGTTGATAAAAAACAAATAATTAATTAAATTCAAAATTAATTAAATAATTTAATTATTAGAGCCCGAGCCTGTTGATAAAAAACAAATAATTAATTAAATTCAAAATTAATTAAATAATTTAATTATTAGAGCCTGAGCCCAAGGCCCAAGGCCCATCTTTTGATAATTATATATATATATATATATATATATATATATATATATATAATTATAATTATATATAATTAATTAGTGCACTCCAAAGCCCAACTCCAAGAGTGAGCCCAATTTTATTCTCCAGACCTATTAGTCCAATCACTTTCTATAAAGGACAAAATCTTATAAAGTGATAAAATCTTTTAGGAATGGCCAATGTGGAACAAAGAAATTTCTACTCAAACTATTCAAATTTCCAACAATACACAACAGTTTGTTTGAGCAAAAGCTAAACTAAAATTTCTCTTCGAGCAGGGGGGAGGCCACGCAGCTCCCGAGTACAAACCTGAAGATTGTCTTGCTATGGTTAGCAGGTGGTTCGCGTACTATCATCTGTAGTCGGTAATTTGAGATTACCAGTCAATCTATTGAAAGATTAAAATTGGAGTTATATTTTTTTCCATAGCAACATTTTCATCCCATGTTGTACCTGCAAAAGTTCATTAATCAATGTTGTACTAGTGCATCCTCTTTATCGATATATACTGGCAATTTAAGTAAGTGCCCAATGCCAAAGTCTTTCATGTATACAGTCACTGCTGTCCTCTAGCTCTTTCGTGAGAGTTCTCTCTCCTTTGTGTGAGTTTCCCAGTTCCATCCATTTCGTAGCCCCGGGATCAAATTCTGTAGCAATGCAATGCTTTCTCTCCCAGGTGACGATTTTGGTAATAAGTAGCATTTTTACGAAGAACCGTCCATTTATTTGATGCATAAGCCTGCATCTAAGTTCGAAGAGATCTATACTGATGAGAGGCCTTAGGTCAAGATCAAGAGTCTCACGCGCCCACGATGAATGAGAGGCTTTGGCCGAAAAACCTCCGATGCCAAAATTAGAATTTTGAGGAAAAAATGTTTAGAGAATTTGGAGAATTTTGCAAGAGTGTAGAACCTAGGTTTTTAAAGAAAATGGGATAGTATATATAGGGCATGGCCAGCCCCCTTTGGAGAGATGGTGACCGGCCCTTTGTGGCATTTTTGGGTGTAATTTGTAGTTAATTAGCCAAGTAATAGATTAATTAGGTAATAAATCAATTAATTAGCTTATTAATATAATTTGAAAGGAATGTTTTGGGGTTACCTTGTGGAGAAAATTTGATGAGGATGGATGAAATAGGTTTTGAATAAATACCTATTTTGGGCACTTTTGACTTGATTGAGAGATGATTGTCCACTATTCCCGTGTAGGAGTTCCGGTGTTCCTTGAGGATAATTTTGTCATTTTTACCCTAAAATCCACGTGTCACCTCCATATTTTTCTTGATTATTTTTTGCTCCATAGGTGGCAGTACTCTTCTTCTCCTCTCTTTTTTCCTTTCACTTCCTTCTCCTTCTCTTTCAGCTTCTATTTTCTCCAATCCAAGGGTCTGTTCTCCACTCTCCTCCAACCCCATGTGCCCCTGATTTCTCTGTTTGTAGCCCCTTCTTGCCCTTTTTCCATTTCCCCCTTCCTTCCACTTTTTAACCTTATTTTCCCTGTTTTATTTCATTTCCCCCTTCATTTCACTCTCCATCCCAATTGACTCCATTCGAAATCTGGTTAGGTTCCTACTTAAGTTCATCGCAATTTATCGCGTCTCACTTGGAAGGTGTCTTGACCTCTGGCTCGGATCTTCACATCACCTCCTTTATTGGGTTTGCCTTTGACGGCACTGTTGCTAGTGGGCTGCTTCTTCCCACTAGCTTCCTTCGATTTGTGGCGGCTACAATTGTGGTGCTCAATAGCAGTGTTTGGGGCTCTGTTTTGGGGTTATGCGTTGGCTCTGTTTTCATCTACTTTTGGGGCTCTTTTTAGCTTGATTTCAGGTGTGTGTTGGGGACGTTGGTTCAGTTGATAGACAAGCAGATTTCCAACGACGACAGTGTAGGAAGCTGTTAGAATTTGCTTCATTGTTTTTTATGTTTTGGGCTCTTGGTTACAACGGAGGTCTATTTTTTTGTTTGTGTGTTTGTTGTAGTTAGGCTTCTTCTTATGTAATTACTAGTAAATTTTACCCGCACGTTGTTGCGGGAGCGAAAATATAACTATAGACTATATTCTTAACATATAAATAACCAAAGACTAAGATAAACATGTAGAAAATGGAGCAAATATTTTTACAAAGTTGTCTAAGTTTATATGACTTACAGAAAAGACATTGTCAAATGCCTTGTCATTGATATACAAAAATGGCTAGTCTAGTATTCCTCATTGACAGTCATCCCAGTGCTTCATTTGTATAATTACTTGAACATGGAATATCCCATAAGAGCACATTTTCCTTTAAGCGTTCACTGCAAATAAAACAATTTGGATCATCCGGAGAAAAAAAAAGAAGTTACAACTGAAACAAAATGTTAATACAGTTGTAATTAATTAGCAGTAATACTTTTACATGAAGAAATCGGACAGACGATGGCAAACTATGATATCAATAAATGAAAAAAAATTCAACAACCATCATTCATTTATATATAGGAATAATAAAATCCATTTGCATTAGCTCTGGATCAAGTTCAACTCAAGGCTACAAAAATTTTAAACCCAAGATTCAGATAGCATTATTCAACCCCAAAAACCAAATAGTACATTTAAACGACTTAACACGATTGAAGGCATAAATCAAATCTAGGAAATTATACTCAACCTGCAATGCAGAAACGAACATTGTAGCTTATATACATTCTCAATGTCCTCAACAAGTCCTCTCTCCAATGGCTCTGCAATCTACAAAAGGTTTTTAGAAGATTATAATTTAAAAACTGAATCACATAAAATTTCTGAAATTAGGTTGCTTCTTACCATAGTTATTTTATTCTTCTTATTGGATGTTTCAGCAAAGCATTTGATTGACAAAGGCTACACTGTTTCACAAAATGAAACAAAATGATCAACCTACAAACAAAAGCATATCCATCAAGAAAAGAAGACATAAAGTTTTACTTTAAAAATAAAAAACGTGAAGATCACGAAGATTGTTGGAGACCGATTCCAAAAACAAATACAAACCCAATAAAATTCAGCTCAAATTCGTGCAATATAATATAAGCCAAACAACCCCAATTTTCTCAGGAAACCAAGAAAAACCAAGAAAAAAAAAACGAAAATGTGAATTCCAAGATCTAATAAAAAGCACAGTGCAAAGATAAATTATATACCTGGCCCAGAAAGGGTTTGCAAACTCCCACAACAAAACCCTAAAGTTGGAAGATAAACGTTTCCTGCAACCAAAAACAAAATCAGACAAAAGATCCACACGCAAAATAGGAAAAAAAAATAAAGAAAACACTTAGCAGGAATCGAATTTTACAACAATCAATTAAAAAAATTTCTTACCAACCAAGCACAGAATAACGGCACACAGCAACCAACGCACCCAAATCGTTGCGATTCCTTCGCGGAAAATAGCGGGAAAAAACAGACCAACCACCCTTCTAAACGATCGGATCGCGATAAAAACAGCGAGTCACATACAGAGAAACGCAAAGAGAGACGGAAAAACAGAGTGAAGAAAAGAAAAGGAAATGAAAAAGTGGAAGATGCTGGAAGTGGAAGTAAATGTGTAATGCTCTTCCAATATCTTTCCTACAAAACGCAACGTGGCCAAAGCTCAACCAAAAACACCAAAAAACACGTTTCAAATGGGAGCAACAGCTGCAAACAAAAATGAAAGAGGGGTAAAACCGGATGGGCACTGTTAATGAACAATACCCATCCACTGAGCTTTAGTATATATAGAATAGAATATCATTTTTTATCCTTTTTGTGCCACAATCCTGTGGTCGGGTTGAACATCTGATAATTTTTAATCAGTTTTTGGTCCTACAACCGATTTTTTTATCATTTGTTTATCTTTTTCTGTACCACATATCATGTGTGTGGGTTTAAAAAACCATGAACAGGTTAAAAGAAAAAAAAAACTTATGAAAAGACCTTGAAAACTTTGAGTTTTAATGATAAGGACAAAATAAAGGTAAAGTGAATATTATCAAGTTTGACTTTTTAATGTAAAAATGTGATTTTTTTGTTAAAGTGAACAGTACCGTGAGTTTTTCATTAAAACTTTCAAAAAAAGAAAGGCTTCACGGTCACGGATGGTGGGCACGTGGTGTAGAAGAGCACCAAACCGGCCTCACCATTTTTAATCATTTTTTTTCCCTGCTCTAATGTTTTTTATAAATTTTTATAGTTTGTCGTGCCACACAACATGTGACCGGATTTAATTCACATTTTTTAATATATTTTTTGCCTGCCATCAGTTGCTTTAAACAAGATGACAGAAGAATGGCCTAGGAGGGCAAGGAAGTCATTTTACTGTAGAAAAGATGGCAAAAAAGTGGCTTAACAAACGAATTGAGGGGCATTTTGGTCCGCGCACTGTCCGTGAATAGTACAACGTCGTTGGGGTTTTAGTATAGGTATAATGTTGTATTGGTAATAAAGTAACCTTTCAGCAAAAAATTAAGTCCTTCGGCTAGCGGCAGTGCGGCACAGCTCATTGACTAGCCGAAGTTGGCTTTGTATTTTGATTATAATTTTGGATCGAGTAACTTCTTGTACTGTTTAACTTTGTCAATAAAGCTATCATTTAGCCTTAAAAAAAATATTTTCTTCTAATGAATTCTATGTTTGACAAAACAAGAAGAAAGAATACAAACAGAAACGACTTCAAATTAAAAATAATCTAAACACCGACGAACCATTTTAAGCATTTTTGGAAGCTTTCATTGGACCTATTTTGCCCTAAAATTAAGATTACCATACATCAAGCAAGTTTGGTAGAGATTTGTTCATCAGTTGTGCATTGTGGTGGTTCGCATGATCGCAATAGCCACATCAACATGTTAGATGATCTCAATAGCGACATTAATATGTAGGGACGTAGTCTGAGCTATGCTTAGTTTTCACTACCGAATCACATTTGTTTTGACGTACATTAATTTCTTTGTTTGGATTTATAAATATAGAAAATTTAGAATTTTCGCGTAGGGAAAAAAATTTGGAATTTGGGACCTTCAATTCCCAAGTTTAAATTCTATGTAAATAAGTGTCATTTCTAAATTTTCATGAGTGGGAGTTTAAAAATAACAAATTATGTTTCAATTTTCATTATTTTTTTATGTTAACTAAATAAGAAAATTCACAAAAAAAAAAGGTGGTACCCAGTGCACGAGGCTCTAGCTTTATGCAGGGTTTGAGAGAGGTAAATGTCGGCTAGCTTTACCCCCAATTATGAAGAGGCTGCTTCCAAATAGGAAAATTCACAAATTTTAGAAAATAAAATTATGTCATTCCAATTTCCGTCATTTTAAAATTTCTCAATCTTAAACTTTCTCATCCGAACACGATGTAACTTTATTTGTATCGTCGATTTGAAGGACTTGGCATGATTTCCCATTTATTATTGGCCAAATTTTTCTGTGATGGCTCGTAGACCCTATTATGTGACTATTTTTTACAGAAAAGGATCCTCGCCAGATGTTTTTCTTGGGGATTCTAATGATCCCGTGATCGTGATCGTTCATCATAAATTGTGTGGTCAGAAATTATTTTAAAATTTAAAATTTAAAATTAAATATAAATAGTACCTAACGAAAACTGATCGCACGATGTACAATGAACGATCACGATCACGGGATCTTTAGGATCCCTAGGAAAAAAGATCTGGTTTTTTTACTATCATGTGCAGTTTGATCATTGGAAATTAACTCTTTCTTTAATCATATGACTAATCTGGTCTTTCTCAAAATGAGAAGGAGCATGACTCTAATAATACCTCCCCGTATTTTGGGCTTACTGAAAATGTTTCCCCCAGTTGAGTCTGGGATATTAATCTTGTCTACCATCTCTGATCTCATCTTTAATTCTTTACAGCAAAACTTGGAACACAGCAACTCATCCCAGCTCTAACAAAGCAGAGAGGGATTCAGGAGAGGTTGACCTGCAAATTCCAATTCCCAACCGCCGCGATGAGAATCCCTCATCCCACTCACCACCCATCCAAGTCGGCCACAGCCCCAGCGGAGGACGACTCTGACCCGACCCGACCCACAATGCCCGGCCTCGGCATTTCGGTGGCCGGCGGGCTGCGGAAGAAGGGGCTTGGCGTGAGGCCATGGCTGCTTCTGGACTCCAGCGGGCAAGCCCAGGTTGTCGAGGCTGGCAAGCACGCCATCATGCGGCGGACCGGTCTACCCGCTCGGGACCTTCGGATCCTGGATCCGCTTCTTTCCTACCCGTCTACGGTGTTGGGTCGAGAGCGAGCTATCGTGATCAACTTGGAGCACATCAAGGCCATCATCACCGCCCATGAGGTCCTGCTGCTCAATTCCCAAGACCCGTCTGTCACTCCATTTATTGAGGAGCTTCAGCGGCGGCTTTTGCGCCACCACCAAGCCACCACCAAACCCGCGAAAATCCAGGTTCCAAGAAGTTTAAATATTTCGTCTAATGGCCATTGTTTATGATTGCAATTGTGATTTCTAGTATTGAGCTGTGTTGTTTGTTGAGTTTGCTGCTGGTGTAAATCACAGGAAATAAAACACAAGTAAACAGAAATTAAAAGTGAACAAAAAGACACCAGAATTTTGTGGAAAAAACCCTCCAATGTGAAGGGAAAAACCACAGGACAAAGTCCAAAATATGTCCACTATTTGAATGGGATTACAAACACTAATCTCTATAAACTTTAGAGGCTGACTAACTCAAGAGCACGCACACACTCTTGGATGAACTCACTATTTTTCTGTTACACTCACACTCTATAAAAGAGCTACAGGCTAAACACACACACACACACACACACACATATATATATATATTCGTAATCAACTCACTATGGAAGGGGATAGACAAAACAATCAATATTGGGCTGCTTTACATTTCAGTTCTTGAAACTGGAAAAACCTTTCTTTGTCCAAGGATTTTGCTTCTTGGACGCATTAAAGATGGGCATTTAATTTCATGAGGAGGGAATTCTAACAATCTCCCCCTTCCCGACTCATGTCGAAGAAACGCAGACCTCCTGATGTTGTGCACTGCTCATGTTTTCCTTTAGGAAGAGCCTTCGTCAACATATCAGACTTGTTGTTGTTGGTATGAACTTTGCCCAGCTGCAACAATTTTTTCTCAAGCACATCTCGAATCCAATGATACTTGATATCAATGTGTTTAGACTTATAGTGAAAGCTTGGATTCTTACTGAGATGGATGGCACTTTGATTGTCGCAGTAGATGACAAACTTTTTCTGGTGAAGACCAAGTTCTTTGAAATATCTCTTCAACCACAACATCTCCTTGCAACATTCTGTAATGGCACTGTACTCTGCCTCTGTAGTAGACAAGGCCACACATTTTTGCAATTTAGATTGCCAAGACACTTATGAGATAAAGGAGGAGGGGGAGGGCGTCAGGTAGTCGACAGCCGGCACTCCATGATCACGTCGAATCCTTATGAGATTGCCAAGACACTGCTCCCCCTCCAGAAGTAAATAAATAGCCTGAGGTTGATCTTTTCGTGTCTTTGTCTCCCGCCAAATCTACATCCATGAAGCCTTCAAGAACAGGCTTATTATTTCCAAAACACAAACATAACTTTGAAGTACCTCTAAGGTACCTTAGAATCCATTTAACTGCTGCCCAATGCTCCTTCCCAGGATTTGCAAGAAACCTGCTCACCACTCCTACCGCATGGGCAAGGTCTGGCCTAGTACAAACCATTTTGTACATTAAACTTCTTACGGCTGAAGCATAGGGAATTTTCTTCATTTCTTCCATTTCTTCCTTTGTTGAAAGGCATTGGCTGTTGCTTAGCTTGAAGTGAGCAGCAAATGGACAGCTTACAGACTTGGCTTTGTCCATGTTGAACCTTTCAAGTACTTTCTCAATATATCTTTCTTGAGACAACCATTTGCATGCCAAGAATTTGTTTCGCAGGTCCCAAATCCTTCATATCAAAGGATTTGCTTAACTTCTTCAACTTGTCAATCTTATCAGCATCCAGACCAACAATTAACATATCGTCCACATATAGAAGCAATATAATGAAATCCTTACCGGAGGATTTTTGAATGAACACACAATGATCAGAAGCTGTCTTCTTGAACCCATTATCAACCATAAAGGACTCAAATTTCTTGTACCATTGTCTCGGAATTTGTTTAAGTCCATATAGACTCTTTTTCAGCTTGCAGACCATATGCTCCTTCCCCTTGATTGTAAAACCTTCCTGCTGCTCCATATAAATATCTTCATGCAAATCACCATGTAGAAAGGCTGTTTTGACATCTAATTGCTCCATCTCCAGATTCATGCTTGCTGCCAATCCCAGAACAACACGAATTGGAGTCACTTTCACAACCGGCTAGAATATCTCCTCAAAATCAATGCCTTTCTTTTGTGCATACCCCTTCACAACCAATCTCGCGTTGTACTTTAGCTTGAAAACCCATTTGTTTGGAAGAACTTTCTTTCCCTTTGGTCGT